GCTTCCACCACCACCACCACCGGATCTGCAAGACTTTCCACCCACTGGCCTGTGATCTTCAGGAATTCAGCATCATTGCATGGCTGTGTGAGTCTAAAGAGGAATTTATGGACCAGAATTGGACATACGGGCTAATATCAGACTTATGGACCTGATCTAGATTAGGCTGGGATGTTTCTTAATATATAATTACTCTTTATATAAAGTTCTTTCTTCTACACAAATGAGTGTCTATGAATTTGTATCTCTAGTCAACCCGGACTAATACAATGGGTTTATGTTTTGACATGTTGATTGTCAACATATCCCAGAAGTAGCTGGCGACATGAATCTGGACACCAAGAGAGAAGCTTGTGTGGGACAATGGCTTTGGGAACCATTAGCACATAGGTTGTATGACATAGAATGAGAGGAAAGTAAGTTGAGGGTGCAAGGGAAAGGACATGTTTGCTTTAAAGGATTCGTAAGAATTCTGTGAAAGGGCATCAAAAAAAAATGAGAGTGTTAGAAAGAATGCCAAGAAAACCTTGTGTCATGCAGACCAAGGAACCAAGGAATTTTAAGAATAAATTGGGTCAACAATTTCAAATAACACAGAAAGGATAAGTAGGTAAATGCATGAATTGATCAGCGAGGAGATCATTATTGTTACCAAAAGTCTTGTTCAGCAGCAAAGAGAGCAACTATGGTACCATGTTTGTGTACCTTCTCAGTGTCAGACACTGTACGAGGCACCTTATACATGCCCTTACTTTCAAATTGCACATCAGCATTTTAGATGCGAGGTAACTCGTGAGGTAAGACTTGGAGAAATAAAGTAACTTATCTGATGCCACACTACTACTAAGTGCTCAGTAGATCTAAATAACATCAAAATCCCTTGAAAACTCCTAAGAGGAAACATGTTCTAAGAAAGAGACAATCCGTCTTGACAGGTTGTGTTTTATTTTTAACTTATTATCAATTGACAATGTAGATACTATATGACTATAATAGGGAGTTCTCTGACTCATACATTAACAATTCAAGAATACATGGATAATATAGTCTAATGAAAACACCATTATCCATACTGCTAGGTAAGGATAGCCTTGAGAAGAATGGGAATTCCAGAACATTTCATTTTGTTCACATTTGGAACTTGCACATGGATCAAGAGGCAGTTGTGCAAACAGAACAAGGGAATACTATATGGTTTAAAATCCAGAAAGGCACGTGTCAGGGTTGTATCCAATCACTGTACTTATTCGATCTGTGTGCTGAGCAATCATCAGAGAAGCTGGAGTATGTGAAGAAGAGTGTGGCATCAGGATTGGAGGAAGGCTGATTAACAACTTGCAACATGCAGATGACACAACTTTCTTTCCGGAAAGCAAGGAGGACTTGTGACCCTCGCTGATGAAGATTAAGGATTGCAGTCTTCAATATAGATTACAAGTTAATGTAAAGACAACCCAAATCCTTTCTAGACTGATATCCGTGATAAATGGAGAAAAGATTAAAGTTGTCAAGGATTTTGTCTCCCTTGGATCTACAATAACACTCATGGAAGCAGCAGTTGAGAGATCAAATAGTGCATTGCATTGGTTAAATCTGCTGCACAAGACCCCTTGAAAGTGTGGGAAAGCAAGGATGTCACTTTTAGGACTAAGGGGTGTGTGAGCCAAGCCAGGGGATTTTCAGTCACCTCATGTGCATATGAAAGTTGAATACGGAATTCAATACATTGAATAAGGAAGACCAAAGAAAAATCCATACATTTGAATTATGGTGCGTGAAGAATATTGAAAGTACCATGGACTGCTAAAGAACAAAAAAAAATCTGTCTTGGGAGAAGTACAGCTAGAATACTCCTTAGAAACAAGGCTAGTGAGACTTGATTTCACGTACTTGGACATGTTCTCAGGAGGGAGCAGTCCCTGGAGAAGGACAGCATGCTTGGTACAGTAGAGGAAAGTGCAAAAGAGGAAGGCCTTTGGCAAGATGATCGAGACAGTGGCTACAGCCACGGGCTCGGACATGACAAAGGTTGGGAAGATGGCGCAGTCCCGGGCAGTGTCTCATTCGGTTGGACCCAGGGTTTCTGTGTATCAGAATTGCCTAGATGGTGTTGGGTGGGGTTGGGTTTTAAGGCACAAGTCGCAACCCATGAGAAGTAATGCCCGACTACCGTAGCTGGGTTCCACATGGTCAGCTGCTGTGCCCATGTTCCACTTTAGTTGTTGGGTTGTGGACATGGTGGGAAGACAGAAGAGAAACATAGAGCAATAGTTAGTGCTATCAGTGTGGAAATACTGCAATATTTTAACAGCTGGTATGGCCGTGGCACAAACAGTGAAGTGCTCGGCTGCCAACTGAAAGGTTGGCAGTTGGCACCCACCGAGCTGACCCCAGGAGAAAGCCCAAGTTCCGCTGTGGTAAGGATCACAGCAAAGAAAACTCCGCTGCCCTGTCCTGGGTCGGAATGGACGGGACGCCCCTGAACAACATGGCCATCCCGTGCATTTCCCTGATGGCAGCCAGGAGCACGCTCGTCTTTAAGAGCTCACAGCACACGCCACGCGGATCACACGGGACAAACACAGGACAAAGCGACTTTATGTTCTGTTTTTTGAATTATCCCAGAGCGAAGGGTGTTCGTAAAACAAACAAATCAACCAAACCCAGTTTCCTCAGGTCAATTTCGGCTCATGGTAGCTCCATGAGTGTCCAGAGTGGAATTTGCGATTCAGAGGGTTTTTGATGGTTGATTTTTTTTGAAGCCTCTCTTCCTATGCCCTTCTGAGCAGACTTGACCCCCCGATCTTTTGCCTAATAGCTGAGCCCATTAACTGTCTGAACAACGCAGAGGTTTCAACCTCCCCCCAAAAGTAGGGAATGATTTTCAAGTGGAGCTTACTTGGTAAAGCGACAGCAATCCTTAGTGGGTGAGAAATGGCCTTAGCCTTCGCGGAGCTGTTGGTACACAGGGAATTTCTGTCATAAACTTCCACTTGACACTGGTACACGCCTGCCTCTTCCTCTGTGGCATCATGGATGAGCAGTTGAGAACGAAACGGTCCCTGTGACACCTCCGTCTTCTTAGGGAACTGGGAGAGGCCATCCCCCCATTCAATGGTACCATTATGGGCCATCTGAATGAGTCGATAAGAGACTTGAGACCCAGCTGGCTGGAACTGCCACGTCACAGTGAGTGGCAGCTTCAGATCTGAGTAGCCGGCCCTGATGATGCACGACAGGTCAAAGGTGTCAGCTCGCTTCACTTGCGGTTGACGGCTCATCAGAGTAACTTGCAAACTTGATTCTGCAGGCAGAAATGCAAAACACAATGTCTAACAGGTTTGCCAGATCAAATGCACTACTATTCAAATGTACATGCAAGTGTTCCCACTCGCCACCTCTTTCTTCCCCATGAACCATGCATTCGTACGTGTGGGTTGTCATATATTTGGGGGGGAGAAGCTGGCTCACAGTGTCCTGAATTTCGACTTCTGTTTTCCAAAATTGACATTCTCCTGAGAGCAACAATGCTTCTGCAGGCTGTTGCTCAGGCAACTCTCCAGCCCCAGTGGCCTGGCCTCCTTCCCTCACCCCCACTGAAGGCTTCACTATCAGATTCGCTTGCAAGAGCTAGAAGAAATGGCAGTCCCAGGGCGACAGCTGTGAGCAGCCAGAGGAGGTAGGTTCAGCTTCTAAGTCTGCTTGGCTTATCTCTTCTATGCATTGACTAAGGAATAGGATTTCATTTTCAATAGGGAACAGTCATGTACAAGTTGCATTCTTTTTATTTTTAAATAATTTTATTGGGGGCTCTTATAGTACTTATCACAATCCATCCATCCACCCATTGTGTCAAGCACTTTTGTACATATGTTGCCATCATCATTCTCAAAACATTTGCTTTCTACTTGAGCCCTTGTGTCAGCTCATTTTCCCCCTCCCCCACCCTCCCTCCTCCATAAACCCTTAATAAATTATAAATTATGATTGTTTCATGTCTCACACTGACCTATGTCTCCCTTCACCTACTTTTCTGTTGTCCATCCCCTTGGGGGGAGGGCTATATGTAGATCATTTTGGTGGGTTTCCCCTTTCTCCCCCACCCCCTTTCCCTTCCTCTCCTAGTATCGCTGCTCTCATTATTGGTCCTGAGGAGTTTATCTGTCCTGGATTCCCTGTGTTTCCAGCTCTTATCTGTACCAGTGTACATGCTCTGGTCTAGCCAGATTTGTAAGGCAGAATTGTGGTCATGATGATAGGGGGAAGGAAGCATTAAAGAACTAGAGGAAAGTTGTATGTTTACATGGTGCTATACTGCACCCTGACTGACTCTCTCTTCCTTGTGACCCCTCTGTAAGGAGATGTCCAATTGTCTACAGATGGCTTTGGGTCTCTACTCTGCCCTCCCCATAATTTACATAGATATGATTTTTTTGTTCTGGGTCTTTGATGCCTGATACCTGATCCCATCAATACCTCATGATCACCAAGGCTGGTGTGCTTCTTCCATGTGGGCTTTGTTGCTTCTCAGCCTCTTGTTTATGTTCAAACCTTTAAGACCTCAGACACTATATCTTTTGATAGCTGGGCATCATCAGCTTTCTTCACCACATTTGCTTATGCACCCATTTTGTCTTCAGTGATCTTGTCGGGGAAGTGAGCATCACAGAGTGCTGAGTTATTAAAACAGTGTTCTTGCCTTGAGGGAGTACTTGAGTAAAGACCCAATGTTTGACTGCTGCCTTAATACTTAACATATCTTGAACATAGATCTATTTTCCTATCATTATATATAAATATATTTACATATGTACATGCTTGTATTTAGACTTCTATAAATGTCCTTTGCCTCCTAGTTCTTTCCTCTATTTCCTTTTACTTTCCTCTTGTCCCACTACCATGTTCAGCCTTCAATCGGGTTTCAGTAGTTCCTCTCTGCTATATTGCCCTTGATCACGCCCCACCAGGCATCCTATGCCTTCCTCCCCATTGATTTTAGATCACTTGTTCCCTATCCCTGGGTTTGTTGACACACCCTTCCTTTCCCCAGCCACCCCCTCCTATCTTATCTAAATTGGCATCAAGTTGTATTCTAAAGATAATCTTCCTAAACATGACTAAATTTCAGAGAGTCATTGACAGACGTGGTAGCCAGAGACTACCAGGCTTCGTGTCCGGGGCCACACACTCCAAGAAGAACTGTCACCAGGCAGTGAAAGGAGGAAGGCCCTCGCTGACTTGGAATGGCACATTGCTGCCACCATGGGCTCCAGCACAGGGGCAACTGTGAGAGGATGGCCCAGGACCGGGCAGTGTTTTGCTCTGTAGTGTACAGGGTCACTATGGTCAAAATGGACTCAGTGGCACCTAACAGCAACATGTATAGAAGCTGAGAAAAGGATTTCCTTGATACTTACCCAGAGACTTCACAGTGACCAAAATCTGAGTCCTCGCATTTCTGGCCTGGTTCCGGATCATCTCAGACACCTCACACTGGTAAGTCCCGCTGTCTGTGATGGCGGTGGAGGTGATGTCCAACTGGAAAGTAGCCCAGTTCACCTTCGCCAGTCTTACGTTGCCCTGGTTCCGAGATTCCCCATAGGAGGGACCCAGCTGCACAGTGCCATCCTGCCCCATGGCAGCCACAAACTCTGGCTGCGTCTGGCCCTGTGGGATGTGCCACCATCTCACCAAGATAGGACTCTCCTCTCCGCCTGCCTGGCAGAGGAGGGCCAGTGCCTCGCCTTCCCACACTGCCTGCCGCTTGTTCTTCTCAGACAGGGTCACGCTTCTTGCTGTCGGAGACAGATTTGAGAACAAATTATTTCCTATGCCTGAAATATGTCTCTGAAATACAGTGATATTTCATTACCAAGGACTTGACTCATTTGTGGCCAATCCGACCAAGGCACTTATCTTTGCACTATATCCCCAGAAAAGTAAAATCACTTCACTTGTAATTTGCTCTTAGTTTTAGCTATTAGATCCGCCTTTCAGAATACCGAGTTGGGAAAACATTCAGTCATGTTTTGTTAAGTTAATTAGGATGGTGTTTAATACTGAAAGTAACCAAGTGCTATTCATTGACTTTAGAAGTTCTTTAGAAGTCAGACTTTCACAATTAAAAATGAATATTGTCTTCCTCCTTATCTTTCCCTAGCCAGCCCTACTTAGTATGTATTTAGAACAGGGGAAGAATTTTGTACATCCGTTCTCTGGTCACCACACTACTGTGGAAAACAATTACTTGGGATCTATGTGTATATCTTTGCTTATTGGTGAAGGGAGAGCCTTTGTATTGTCTGCACTACAGTGTAAGGCTGTAAATGTCAGTCTGGCTCCCAGATGGGAAATTCACGGTGCTTATAAATGTGAAACATTCCCTCGACAAACACTTATGCTACAAGGATGCTTCTTGGGCAATGCAAAGATAAAGCCGGAGCTCCTGCATCCCAGGCAGCAAAGGACCATATACAAGGTCAAGGCCTCTAGAATCAGAATGATTTTGGGCCATATTTTCGACCACTTTGCGTCTCAGTATTCATCCCTGTAAAAATAGAGAACATAAGAGAGTTTATCTTATCGCACTGCTTGGGAGCCAAGGTTAATGGTTAACTTATGGACTTGGCTGCTAACTGAAAGTTTGGAAGTGTGAGACTAACCAGAGGTGCCCCCCAAGCAAGGTCTGGCACTCTACCTCTGAAAAGCCAGCCACTGAAAACCCCGTGGAGCACAATTCTATTCTGACACACAGGTTTCCACCAGGCAGTCAATCCTATGCTTACTGGCTTGGCTTTTATTGTTGTGTTGAGCATCAAACAAATGACTCATGTAAAAGGCGTAAATTGGCTGGCATAGGCAAGGGGTCAGTTAAGGTTAACTGTTAGTGTTAGTACTGGATGATAGCATAGCAAAAACAGAGGTAGTTCAATACCAAAAATGAAAGAAAGAACTGGCATTAGAACTCATATAGGACCTAAGTGAATCTGCTAAGTGTTCAGTTCTCAATTGTATATATACAACCACTGCCCTCCAGCCATCCAGGCAATTCTGATGCACAGCGATCCTAGGTAGGGTTTCTAAGACTGTAAACCTGTATGGAGCAGAAAGCCCTCCTCTATTTCCTGGCGGAGTAACCCGCCCATTTGAACTGCTAATCTCATCATTATCAGTTGAACGGCTAATCTCACCAATCTCACCTGACAGTGCCTATAGGTATATATGTGTGCGTGCGTGCATTACAAAGGCCAAATGGAACTTAATGTCCACAAGTAGGCTTTAAAATTTAGTAAACTCTGCATCCAAATTTTTAGATAGTAAAAGCACAAGTACACTTTTAAAATTAAGCTTAAAAACAGACTGCCCTAACTGAAGTTTAGACATTAGAGGAAGAAATATCACTCACCATCTCACCACGTTAACATAACCCTGATGTTTACTCTCAACTTACAATGCCTTTTATTTTTTTGTAATGAGGTTTTCTTAGTTCGTTGTGGTTCTTGCCACCTCTTGATATGAAGCAATAAACGTATCAAGTGTGTGCACATTATACAATCCCAAGGGTAGTGAGTCCCACCTTCTGTTGAGATAGTCACAGAATAATGGAATAATAAAACTGTTCGTATTTCAAGTCATGGTTTGGCTCTCAGGGCAGAATCCTCAACAGGACTTATAATAAACTTGCTAGCAACTTTTCCTGTTTTCATACATTAGACCTGGCTTGGACTCCAGCCTACACTAAGGACTAGTTGGTCTTTGGAAGACAACCCTACTGTCAGGCACGTGACTCTGCACTGTGAGGACACCACTGGATCCCTTTGTTATCGATTCCCATTTGTTCTGTTTAAGAACATTTGCAGATGCATCCCAGAGTTGATCGAGATGCACACAGCAGAGATACAGCTCTGTGTAAATGTCTAACCTCCCCATGTAGTTTCCCCTGGATCCATGGGAATGGAGCCAAGTGTTCAGTGGAAAATCTAACACCATCATGCTTGCTGGCCTGCCATTCTAGGCCAATACTTGTGTCTCTTCCATCCTGGCAAATGGGGTGACAGAGAAGAACTCAAAAGGGAAACTTGTCCTCAGATACCCCCAGTAAGCAAGTACAGGCATTCTTAATCTGCAGTTTAATTTTCAACATAAAATCTTTATAGACTTTTAAGGCCCAGCCTAGAGAACTTGAGTGATGAGTTGCAGGTTTGTTTGTTTTCTGTCTACACCGAAAGCACCACGATGCAAATGCATGCAGCATCAAGTAGCCTTAATCGGAGAAAGGAAGCAGAGGGGCTTTCCCACTGCCGTGCACATGGAAACGCAGAGCCTTTCTGGACATGCGTGTCACCTCATCGTGGAAAAACACAGAGGAGAGAGGCTACCCGTGATCCTTTACCTCTTTATGCCTGCCTCTGAGTCATACTTGGATGCAGAATTGTGACTAAGTACCATTTCCCATATAAGGTTAAGATGGTAGGGGGTTAACAAAAGGCAATTGAAGGACGCCAGCCCAGCCTGGCAGCAGTACTGTGGGTGTTTATTTCCAGGAAATAAACTTTCTCTCAGTCTACACACACACACACACACACACACATTATAGCTTTCTCTCAGTCTACACACACACACTATACAGTCTACACACACACACACACACACAGATACTGCTGCTCTCTGCCTTAAGGAAGACCCAAGGTATACCGATAAGGACTAATAGCAAACATCTGGAACCAATGATTATGAGACATGTTTAGTGTCAAGAAGGGACTTCAAACTCAAAAGCAAACTCCTTGCCCCCGGGTCAGTTCTGACTCATAGTAACCCTATATATAGCACAGGGTAGAAGGGCCCCTGTGGGTTTCTGAGGCTGTAACTCTTTACAAGCGTAGAACGCCTCCTCTTTCTCCTGTGGAGAGGCTGGTGGTTTCGAACTGCAGACTTTGTGGTTAGCAGCCCAAGGGTCAGCCCACCCTCTCCTTGTGTGCCCGCCATTTTGCAGATAAGAAAACTGAGTTTGTGGTCATGGCTGGTTGGTGACTCAGGCCACCAGGAAATGAGTTTGCGTGCTATCCTTTTACTCCACGCCACTGAGGTGTGACAGGAAGGACACGCAGCAAGTGAGGAAGATCTCCACTCTGACAAGGAAGACATTCTGTACTGTCAGTGGGAAGGGGGGTCCTGAAAGCAGCCCAGTGAGCGGCCCTCCAGGCTCCACCTACCTGCCGGCTTCCTCAGGCGCACTGGGCTGTCCTGCGACTGTTTCCTCTGTAGCACCCGCCAGGAGCCTGTCTGTGTTCTCTCCACCTTCATCACCACACATCTGTAGGTGCCTTCATCCTCTGGGCCCGCGGAGAAGATCCTGAGAGAGAAAGCCTTGGGGCTGAGCTTTGACACCTGCAGCTGTCCTTGGCTTGCTCTTTCTCTGTAGCTGGTCTTCAAATCCAGGACCCCGGCAGCGTCCACGCTGGCCGTTTCTTCGTCATTGAAGAACCAGACACCCTGGAGCTGGGGGGCCCGGCTGCTGCCCAGCACCAGGCAGACCAGCTCCAAGGGCTTCCCTTCAGCAAACATGCTTCCAGCCGTCAAGTTGACTTGAAAATCTTTCACTGGGAAGCAAGAGCAAGACGGGCAGTTAGAGGGGCACTCTTTCGGTCTTCCAGTACAGGAACACAGGAACATCGGGCCTCCTGTACGACCACCACAGGGGATCCCGTTTCGCATGGGAGTGGGATTGAGTTCCGAAATGGCAGGTAAAAGGGAGGGGGGGGGGGCAGAGTTGAAAATGTCCTTGGCTATTCCTTATAATTCCAAAATGGCAGGACACATCGCTTTGTGTATGCACCCCTATTAAGCAATATGGTGGACCTGTGAAGTATAACATGATACAGAGTTTTTAATTCTAAAAACAAATCAAATACTCTGCCCTGTGTTGAACTGCTTATACCTGGATTTCTTATACTTTTGGGGTGGGGAGTAGGAAGGTTGAGAGTATTAATGGAATTTTCCTAAGTTTAAAGGACACGTCCTCATATGAGGAAGTCAAAAAGAGTCTATAAAGAACGCTGGTGGAGGAGTGGTTATACATTGGATTGCTAACTGCCAAATCTGCAGTTCAAAACCACCGATACCTCCAGGGTGGAAAGATGAGGCTTTCTAGTTCTGTAAAGATTTACAGTCTCAGAAACCCCCGGGGGCAGTTCGACCCTGTCCTATAGGGTTGCTATGAGGTGGAATTAAGTCGATGGCAGTGAGTTTTGAGTACAGGGTGATCATGGAGCAAAAAAAATCACTGCCAGAGTCAATTCTGGCTCATAGCAACCCTGCAGGAGCGGTTAGAACTACCTTGTGGGTTTCTGAGACTTTCCCCAGAGGAGGGTAGTGGTTTTGAACTGGTGACCTTGTGGTTAGCAGCTCAATGCATTATCACTATGCCACCAGGATTCCTAGAGTGGCCATCAGTGGGTCCTAAGTATTTCTTGTCAAATAGTTGGATAATAATAATGCCTATATGAGGGGCCAATCGCTTGGAATTTTTCTTCATATATTTCAATACACACAGGAATATTCAAAGTAAATATGATATTCATAGTGATATTCAAGTCCTATCTGGGAAATCGAGGTGTAAATCTTCATAAAGTTAAGACAGTCAAGTCCAAAATCTATTTGGCGCTGATACAATGATAAATCTATGAATTGAAAAGTAAAAGAAATCGGGGGAATCGATCACAATGATCTACATGTAATCCCCCCCTTTCCAGGCAGATGAACAACAGAAAAGTGGGTGAAGGGAGACAGCAGATGATGTAAGATATGAAAATATTAATAATTTATAATTTATCAAGGGTTAATGAGGGAGGGAGGCTTGTGGAAGGAGGGAAAAAATGAGGAGCTGATACCAAGGGCTCAAGTAGAAATAAAATGCTTTGAAAATGATGATGGCAACAAATGTACAAATGTGCTTGACACAATGGATGCATGTATCGATTACGATAAGAGCTTAAGAGCCCTCAAAAAAGTGATTTAATAAAAAAAGTAAAAGAAATCATTAAGGATGTGTTTTTTCATTATAAATAACTAGTTAGATTTTCTTCAAAAAAGATTATTTGAGTGATTGATTTTTGGCTCATTGTAAGTTAATCTGCTGTTTTCATCAAAATCTTGAAATTACAGGTGAATTTATGAAAATGATATACAGGTAGTCCCCAACTTACAAAGACGTTCTGTTGCTGCAACTCCATCGTAGGTCAGTTGTGACATTAGGCAAATAGCTCACTTTATTTTTCAGTTTTCCTTTCAAAGGATGGCAGTGTTGTGAGGAGTGAATCATGAAATTGAACATCTGGAGTGGACATTGGAGAAGGAGAGCATCGGCAAACTGCATGCTGCAGCTTTGTATGCGATGCAGATGACTGAGGATCATTGGTGAGGCTTGCTATGACTCAGACATGCTTTAAGTTGGGGATTATCTGCAGACCAAAATACGTGCAAATAACACATAACTTAAAGGGGCAAAAACCCTAGAAGCACATTAATGTGCCTCTATAGGATTCGCTGAGATTGACATGACCAATGTCACTAGGTCACTAGGGCAATTTTAATGGCAAACAATATTCCTAACAAGAAAGACAATTTCCATGGCTCACCACGTGGATGCTTTTAGAAGTCCCTTCCTATTTGGACTAGATCCTATGTGGAGACACCAAGAATCACAAGGGAGGCTTTTCTGTTTGTTTTGACGAAAATGCTCATCGATTGTGACGTGCGGCATCATTCAAGTTGCAAAGTTGGCAGGTGGGAGGACATTTCCAGCCTGGACAAAGATCAGACATGATGCTCTCTTGAGCTCTTGGCTTGAGCTCTTTTAAGGCCCTGGTGTCTCTGGTGAGTGGATTTTGGAGAGATATCAGACTTTAAATGCCGCTCTTCCTCCCCTCAGCCAGGCAAGCTTAGGCAGGACATTTAGGATGTCTAAGGCTCAGGCTCCTCATTTCAAATAGTAGACGAATCAACGAATTGTCTCACAATTGTGGCTCTTAGGACTGTATTCAAAAATATAGATAAAGCGCTAACACAGAGCCAGGCCAGAACTGCTACAAAACTGGTATTCATGACTGGCTTGTGGAATCTATCTAATCATTTAATGGAGCTTGTTCTAAATACAGATGTGTCTTGGAAGACATACAGCCAGAAGGCTCTTTAAAAGTCAAGATGCTGAGACGGTGTCTCAGGAACTTTGGCCAGGTGATCAGGAGCTCGTTCGTTCGTGGTACAGTCGAAGAGCAGGTGACTAAGAAGAAGACCCTCAGTGCGATGCACTGACACAGTGGTTGCAACAATGGACTCCAACGGAATGCCAGTTGTGAGGATGGCTCAGGACGGGGCATGCTTCATTCTGTTGCAGCGAGGGTCACGATGGGCCAGTATTGACTCAACAGCGCAACCTAGCAGCAGCAGCAGCCCCCGGAACCACTACTCCTCGGTCATTCTGTCACACTGAGGTAGCTTGAGTGTGGCTGTGAAGCTGGAAGCTGGGCCATCAGTAGCTCATATACCAGCAGGGTCACCCATGTGGACAGGTTTCAGAAGAGCTTCTTCCAGTCTAAGACACACGAGAGGGAAGAGCCTGGTTGTTCCACTTCTGAAGAATCAGTCAACGAAAGCCCCATGGAGTCCAACAGAGTCTCTCGGTTGGAAGGGATTGGAAATACACAGTGGCTGTAACAATGGTCCGGAGCCAGGCACCAATCATGGAGACGTGGCGGTCCAGGCCATGTCTCATTCCATTGTTCATGGGGTCGCCATGAGTCCAGGGCAATTAGCAAAAGCAACCATGACCTTCCCTATAAAACCTCGCATGGACAGAGTGGAAACTAAAGGTCCTTCTCCGCAGTGATCCTTGCCAAATGGCAAAAACCAAATTAGCTTAGTGTTTTTACACAATTTTATTTGGTGATTAGAAAGAAAACATGAAATGATAACCCACAAAGAAAGACCCAGTTCCCCAGGCAGTCATACATTTCCCGAGAAGATAATTACCTTCAGGCTGGACCTCCAGTGCTGTTTGATTTGTCTGCTTTTTAGTGATGAAAGTCCAGGTTTCATCTGGATCCTGAATCCACTCAATTGCCTCGCAGAACAGCTGGCCTTGATCTGAAGGCTGGAGTCTCCCTATGGACAGTCTGAAGGTCGAGACCCCAAGCTTGTCGAGGCGAACATCACCGGCTTCAAACCTCTCTGTGTACGAGGGCCCGGGGGCCAACATGAAATCTCTGGAGAGGGAAATCACCTTGGTGGCTTGGCTTCTGCCTCCCTCCTGCATCACGTACCAGGTGACAGAGAGGTGGGTATGTTGAGCTGTGGTTTTGAAGACCTGGCAGGTAAGTTCCAAGGGGTCACCCTCTTCCTTATTCAGAACCTGGGGATTCATGGTGGCGGTGAGAGCATCTGGAATAACTGGAAACAAAAGAAGGGTGCTAAGCCGACCAGCACAGTGCTTCTCAGACTAGCCTCCTGGTGGGGGAAGACGGTGTTCTTGCCAACCGTCTGCAAAGCACCTCCTTTCTGGTGGTTTTTCCTTAGCCTTCCCTATTGCCAGCAGAAACACTGGCATCTAACCGTCTATGGAACTTGGCAGAGCTAATGGCTCACCGATGCATCGACACTGACCTTGTACCCTAACCAATTTAGTTAATCGGAGTCTTCAAAGCGAAAAGTACTGGGAGCTCGAAGATCTAGATTCTGATTCTAAATCTGCCCCTGTATGTGAACGTGGGCAAGCCATTCAACATCCCTGGCCTTACCCTGTTCCTCTATGAACGTCTGAAATGATTTGTTGTGATTTTCTTTTCTTGATAGCTAAAATGCTATCCTTACCAAAGTTTGGAAATCATTCTACTACCCTACCACTCTCTCCTTTCCCCAGTGAAATCGCAGAGCCTAGGCTTCTGTTAACTCAACACTTTCAATCAGTCAGTGAGTTTTTACTGGGCGCCTCCTCAGTGTTGACCCCCATGCTCTCAACTGAGATACGTTTTCTCTTCTTAAGGAGCTGAGGGTCCTCAGGAGAGAGACCCACAGTCGGGTACCACAGCTAGGTGAGTGCTACCAATAGTGCTGTTAGTGGAGCATCCAGAGGAAACTGAGGTACTAAGGCAATCAAGAAAGGTTCCACAGAACTGGGTCTTGCTGTGCATGTAGGAGTTTGCAAGGCTGAACAAGGAGTGTTTGATATTCCAGGCAAAGGAACAGATGACATTTGCAAGGACTATGGCCCTCTCCCCACAGGAAAGTTAACTATGCTAGAACAATGTTGCTCAAGAATGATCAGTGCCAAGTTAAGGACCTAGGACAGCAAGACCGGGTCTCTTCCCAAGTCCACGTTCAGCCCTAAAGAAGATACACAGTGGGGGAGGGGGGGGGGAGAACTCTTGAAGCGTTGTCTAGTGCTATTGCTGCCTGTGTTGTTGGATGGCTGTCAACATACTCTCTAGATTCCCGTGGTAAAAATGAAATGGCAGTTTCAGAAAACATGAGATACTTATTTATCGCAACTTCCCCAAGTAGCCACATAGATATATGAGCTCCTTTGCTAGAGCAAATGGAACATTTTAATGCCATGTCATCATGCAAGGCATTGTGCTGGTAGAGACTGGCTGCTAGGGGCTAGTGAATAGAGAAGGGCACATGGCTTACCAGTTAGAGTCGTCTTTGCGCTGTAACTCCCAAAGTACGTTTCGTCAGTGCTGGGTGTGTGGCACTCATACTCGCCGGCATCCTTCATCTGGAGGTTTGCGATGTGCAACACGACTGAGTTGCCCTGGACCCTTTCCACATAGATTTCCCGGCTTCGCACCCGCTGTGCATACAATGCGTAGGAGAAGCTGTCATCCTTGGTGCTAACTATCTGGACTTCCTGGGTTGGGGCTGTCGGCAGGTAAATCGACCACTGGAAGTGCTGCTCCGAAGGGCCCTTGTGGCCAGTTACCTTGCAGCTAATGCTGGCAGGGTAACCTTCAGCTCTAAACAGTGGTCCTTTCTGAACAGTTACTTCTCTCTGGCCAATGCTGAGCTTAACTTGCATGTAGGAGAAAGAAAGGGGAATAAAAATAGATTAGCATCCCAGTTCCCAATGAACCACCTTATATTGTTCCCGATCTTACAATTCTGGTAAATGAGGTAGCAGGTTATTAGCTATAATCAACTCAAATGTTCGACACCTTCTCCAGGCTGAGCAGCAGTGGAATGGTTTGATGAGTTGATTGTTCTTTCATAATTTCGACTTCCATACCAGTGTCTGTTCTCATTTTTTTAAAGGCATAAAACTTAGCTTTATTCATGTTAATATGACTACCTCCATAAAATATGCCTGCTTATCTTAAAATGAGTGTCATTGTAAGGCAAGCTCCATGTATGATAATAGACATTTATAGGATTTTAAAATTATGGGGTCGGGGGAGAGATGAGCACAGACTTCCTCAAGCCTCACATTCCAGGATACCCTCACACTGCTTCCACCAAGTCACCGGAGAGGCAGTCGATGGCTCTGCCCATGGCACCGGGATTTTTTTCTTGCTGGTTGGTTAAAACGCTTTGTAGCTCTTGGACAAGTGTGATCACAGACCAACTAAAATTAGCATCTGATGAGGCATGCAGTGATTTCCTTTCTAGATTGTCAAGGTTGGATTTTTGTTTGTTTTGTTCTCTATTTTAAAATTTTATATCCTTAACAAGAAGCTTCTTAATTGATTGCTGTGGAGTCCAAAAGTGGGATCTGATATGGATCTATTTTCGTTTTTTCTTTTACCAAGAATTTTCATGTGGGACCTCAGTGGATGGTTGCCTGTGGGGGCAAATCTCAATGATTAAGTCTAAAGGAGAAAACGCGGTTAGAGGTCATCATTTCATTGGATGTACATGTTTTTGGAAAATTAAAACTAAAAAAGCATAGCTTACTTTTATCAAGGTTGGTGTTATTTTGTGCCACAGAAAAGAACAAAGAACACGTGAGAGAGAGGCCGGAGGGCGAGCCAGAACTTTCACGAAGCGTCTGGGGCCCAGTGGAGGGGAAGACAGGGCTAAAAGAGAAGAGTTCAACAGCCATGACTGCGGGCATTATGGAGTTCACAGAGACATTTCATAAGCCTCTGCCACGGGTCAATCCTAACTCCTCTCCTCCTGAGAGGACAGAATAGGATTGCCTCCTCGGGGCGCTGAGCCTGCAAATCTTTACAGAAGCTGACAGCCTACTTGGTTAACTGTTCAATCCTTGATCCACAGAGCCGTCAGTGTTCCTTTGGAAGCAGAGCATCTGCTGAATTTTGGGAATCCACAAGGACCGAGTAAAGCCAACGTGGCCACAAAGAACAAAACCAAGAACCCCTGGCCGATTCCACGGTGGCGCCAAGGGTGACAGAGTCGAAGATCTCCATGGTCTAAAACTGTAAGGGTTCTCTGTGGTCATCTTTAGGAAAGTGGACCGCCAGGCCTTCCTCCCTTGGCCCTGTTGGGTGGGCTCCACCCCTTAGCCTGTAAGTTAGCAGGTGAGCACAAACTGTTTGAACCATGGAGGGGCCTTAGAGTGAGCAAAAAAAAAAAAA